ACACACAGACACACACACTTGAACACACACACAAAGCCTCGTCATTCAGCCTGATTAGTGACTTGACCTGCAGGTCAGAGTGGATCTGGCTCTGATGACGGCTGACCGGCAGCAGGAACTAACCCACCTTCCTCCACCTCCTCTTTACTCTCTCTTCTTTTCTCCTGCGTCGCTCCTTTCTGTTCATCCAGATGTCTCGTATCAGGAAGTGGCTACTCTGATTACTAAGGCCACCTCTTACTCCCTCATCAGCTCCCGCACCGGACAGACAACGCACCCCCTTTTTCCTACAGCAGGAGTTCCCTGAAGCGTGACCCCGACCTCCTCTGATCCCCGCTCTCACGACAATTTCAACAAATCCTCCTATTTCTCCACAACTTGGCGGAAAAGTTGTGTTTTACATGTAAATTACACATTAATGACCCTGTGTTCTGAACTTGCTTTTGTACGTGTGATAGAGAGTAAGGGCGAGACAGAGGGGACCGATCGAGGTGTGTAACCAGAGCCGAGCGGGTGGAGCTAGAAAATATCACGAGTGATGACCCTTGACCTCTCCTAGGGACCAAGGGGCGTGACCTATCCATTATCTCCCTCTCCTTCTCTCTGACACTGATGCATAGTTTTGTCACAAGCATGTATACACACACAAATAGGTTTGCATACCTGCTGGTGAGGCCTCAGACTGGGCCATGAGTGCTGCCGCGGCCGAGTTGGGGTTCAGCCTGTTGCCAAACATGTGGGAGGGAGCGAGGTTGAAGACGGACCCCGGCATACTGCTCACCTGAGGACAGATGCAAACGTGTGAGCCATGAAGAAGAAATTATGTTTCATTGTGATTCAAATCATCATTATATTCACTTAAACAGGGAGTTTTTATATCATACATCATTATGCTCCAATGGGGAGTTTTTTTAATTCTATGAAATTAATTTCAAGCAACAGCTCTAGTGAAAAACTGCTTCAATAAAACGACTGCATTAAAAATCACTGATTTAGATACAATTTTAGGGACTAAGACTGATGACTATTTTCATTATTTATGATGATAATGATACATTTTCATCATGGATTCATCACACAACTACTTTCTTGATGTTTAATTTGTAGTTGGGTTATGAAATACAACATGAAACCAAAAGAATCCGGAGCCCAACTTTGCAACACACAGAGTCATTTGGTTGGTTAATGAGCATTGTCCCTGTCAAATGAACAAGTAAAATTAAATAAAATTTTACAAACACCAAGAAAAGGCTAATTCTCAAACTTGAGTTGTTGACACCAGAAGTGTTATTTTCATCTGAATGATTAATTATCAAAATAATTTCAATTATTTTAGTTTTTATGTCAATTGTTTAACAAATAATTTCGTCAATGTAACTACTGAACAGCATTGAATTGTACCTGATCTCTAAAATCAAGCTGCAGAATCTCTGGTGTTTCTTTTCTTGGTAATAAACAAGCAAGTGGCAAGAGTTCATATTATTTGTAATGTTGTTATTTCTGAAGTCTGACTCATGTTGTTAAACAATTATTGAGCCTGAATCCAAAACTGAGAATCAATCGAATTTATCTGGTTTGAAAATATTTAAATCCTCTGGTTTTTACCATTGATTACACTTGTCACAGAGCATCTAAAAATTCCTTTATGTCACTGAACCTTATTTGATCGAGGAAAAAACGTATGCACAAAAGCCCCCCCCCCCCAAAAAAATCATTGCGCTCACAAGCACACACACAAGCACACACAAGCGCACACACACACACACACACACACACAGGCTCAGCGCGCCTCCGCACCCTGACAGTACACTGACACGCTGACAAAGTGTTTCTGATGCATAGAGTTTAATCCAATTAAGGCATTTCCCAAATAAGGACAGTGGAGCGAAGGAAGGGTGGGGTGTGAGGGAGGAGAGCGAGGGCGGAGCGTCAAGAAAGGAATCAGGTGTACAAAATGGCCGACTGTTTTGGTAGCTGCAGAGTAAAACTAGAGGCAAAGCATGTTGACATCACAGAAACTGATTTGAGTCACTTGATTTTGCTCTTCCATCACATCTTTTTTTTTTTGCTCAAGCTGAAATACACTAAGAGATATAAAAAATTTTTAAAGATAATGAACAAAATTAATAACTTGGTGTTTACTTTTTCAATGAAAAAATTTAAGATCTTAAATATTCTGGTTTCTACCATTTGAGGAGAGTTCTGATCTATGAAACAATGTTTTGAATGAAATGCAGAAAAACAACTTGTGTTAATTGTGTGTAACTTTTTTAAACGTGTGCTCTGTCCTGGTCATCATATTAAGGGTGTGTGTGTGTGTGTGTGTGTGTGTGTGTGTGTGTGGTGGTGGTGGTTATTTCAGATTTCCCTTTAGACACCCCTCCTCCTCCTCTTCCCATCGGTGCCATAATCCAGCCCGCGTTCCCATCAACATTCATTTTTCATTTACATTCATTTTTCATTCAAAGTCTCTCTCGAACTCCCTTTCTCTGTCCTGGGCTGATAGCCAATAACAGTAGGCTGAGAGTCTGCTAGTGGACTGAAAATAGCAAATGGTCTCCGTCACTCACATACACACACAGAGACACTAATTCACTCTCACACACACACACACACTGAGGGAAGCTTGTTGTTGGCATCCCTGTAATGTTGCATAATTTCTGCAGACTTTATCCAGAGTATGTGTGTCCCAGATGCTGAGAGGTGTGAATCACACTGTACAAACTAACACACACCTTTTTTTCCCCACATTTTTTTTCTTACAATCTGGTGCAACAAAATGGAGAAAAAAAAATCTTTGGCTTCTTAAGTAGCTTTCACTCGTGCTTTCTGCTGTTTACTTTCCATCTTTTACTCCCCAGCAGCCCCCCCCCCCCTCTCTCACACACCTAAAAACACAAACATCTACAGCACAAGCTCCTCTATACATGCTACAAACAGGCGTGATATCCTGCTCTTCCCTGGGCCTCCTGTCTTCTATAATACGGGCTGAATGCAGAGGAACAGGGAAGATGAAGGCCAGGCCAGTGAATTCAAGGCATGAGTGCAAGCCCCCCGCCCCCTGTACCCACACACGCACATGCACACACACAAACACTAGCCCCCAACCCCTCCTACCCTCCATCTATCCCTCCATCCCTACTGTGGTGCTTGTCAGATGTCATTACATCAGAGGACAACGGAGAGAGAGGAAAAAAAGGAGAAATGGACGGGGACAGAGAGGAGGAAGGTCGAGGGTGAGAAAAAGTGTGTGTGAGAGAAAGAAAGAGGGGTGGTAAGTGGACAAGGAAGAAAAATGGGAGTTCGGTGGACATTGCATGGTCTTTGGGGAGGTTTTGAAAGGACAGACATTGGGGTCAGTGATTCAAGAGGAGATTTTTTTTATTCTTTTTAAGAGACAGTGATTATAGGAGGGGAGGGAGGGAGGGTGACTGATCAAGTTACAGTTAACGTCCTCACTTTTGAATGCAAGCATTTTCAGACCAGTGGAACACTCCACTTTGAAGAAATGCATAAAAAATTCCAGTCTTTGGTCCAAAATACACCATAATTAATTTGGATGTGGATAAACCTACAGAACTTTCGCTTCCATGTCTGAAGTTTAAATATGTCTGAAGTGGTAAGAACATATGGTTAAGTTTATTTTACGTACCAAAGTCAATCATTTCAAATAAATCCGAGATAAATGCGATTTTCCATAGATGTGAAGCTCATGAGTGGTTTATTTCACTCTTCTCCACATTAATAAACCTAATGGAAATCATGATAGTGAGTGTGTCTTACAGCATTCCATTGCCTATGTGGTTTTTGCTGTTTTCATTTTTAAATATGGGTTTTCATTCTGATTGTATCTCTGCATTGTAGTAAATTTCTAGCAATAAAAATGCCTAATTTAACTTCATATTACAGACCCAGCTCACTAAGGTCAGCAGTTATTGAATAGAACTGGAGACTTACACGTCTCAATGAAATGTATAGAATAAATTGACTTATCTTTGTAAAAAAAAAAAAACATAGACCCAACAATCAGCAATAGAATAACTCATGGAAAAACAATGTACACAAGACCAGGACACACACATTTCACACATAATTAATATGGAATGGATTAGTAAAAGCACTGAGCGATATGCTGTGAAAGCCTTTTAATTAGTGTACTTTGGTTTATTTGTGTTCCCACACTTCAGCGGAAAGATGCGAGAGACGTAGTGGGTGCCAAGTGAGCGAGAGTTTGTGTGTGTGTGTGTGTGTGTGTGTGTGTGTGAGAAAGGTAGACGTAAGCGGAGGTAGAGTGTGTGCTTAATGAGCATGAGGAGGTTTTTGACAGTTTTTTGCTTAAGTTGTGTTTGAACTCACGTGTGTGGTGCCTGTGCTGGTTAGCGGAGCAGTGGCGGTGAATGGGGAGGGAGGGGGAAGAGAGGGCGTGGGTTGCTGTTGCTGGGACAACTCGGAGCTGGACACGCCCACGGTGACCGCCCCTGTCCCCGTCGATGACCCATCAGCACCAGAGAAAACACCTGCACAGAAATCAGAGATAACAGACATTAAATACATTATGCGTTTCTATGTTTACATACTTAACTTTGATTTAGAGTTACAGTGACAAATTATTACAGCACAGTTGTAAATATATACACACACACAAATAATGGCTAAATTGTATTTATTCGTTTGAGGATTACATCACAGCTTCCAACTGAACTGATTCATTGATATTATAATTAATATTTCCAGTGCTTTTCTAGCTATGACAAGTTAAAAAAATGTCTGAGTCATCTCTTGGTTTGTCTAAAAATTTTCTAATTTACAAGGGGATTTTGCCATGGGGTTTTTGATATTGAGTACATGTCATTTTTATCAAATGCAGGACAACATTTGTTACTGATTTCTATCAAATTCTATTCTCATAGAATCTAAGATGAATACATTTTACTTGCATTATAAAAACCTGTCTTAACAATTTGCAGGACCACTGTAAAAGAAAAAATGTTTTTTAAACAATACTTTGAAATAAAAACAAACAATACATATACACACGTCATGCTTAATTTACTAATTCATAAAATCCTGTTATAATCTCATCAACTAATGTAAAGCTTAAATGTACAGAGACACATACACACTGAGCTACTGACTCAAAGTGAAAACATCTGCAGTCACACATCAGTCATATAAAGATTTTTACAAACTGGGACAGAAAAGATAAGAATCCATTTGCACATTCTCTCCCTCCATACCAATTATTTGCGCTCTTTGAACATATTCAGACAATTCACATAATATTGTCCAGCAAGTTAAAATTTATGAATATAATGTTATGCAGTATAGGATAGTTTCAAACCACCTATGCAAACATGCTGCTCTATTTCCACACACACACACACACACGCTCCAGGCTCTTATCTCTTTGCTCTGTCTGACACACTGTCTCTCTCTCTCTCTGTCTCCCCCACCCTCCCCTCACACACCCCTGTGCTCGCCCACTAACCAGGGATAAGCCCTGCCCCTGCCCCCCTTTGACCCCAGCAGAGGAGGAGGCAGGGGGGAGAGAACGGGCCCCTCAGCCCCACAAAAGCCTGAATGGCTCAGGGCAGCGCACATTCACTGGGGGAACAAGAGATCTTTGTGCCAGGAGGGGAGGGGTGGAGGGAGAGAGAGGGAGAGCAACACAGAGAGAGAGCGAGATAGAGGGAGCGAGAGAGAGAGAAAGAGAGAGAGGGAGCGAGAGATGAACATTGCATGGGCCAACATACTATTTATAACGATTTGTAATATGCACCAGAAAAATTGATACCCAAAGCAGCGCTGCCGAGGCTCAGAGGGCATGTGCTCCTGCAAGATTTTTTAGCAGCTAGATTAGAGGCCAAACCAACAGTTTATCAGCCCATGCCACTGGTGACATGACAGAGCAATAACAGTTAAAAACAGGAGGAAAAAACTGGTTAATTTGACTGTACATTCACATTACCATGAAATAATTCAAAGGTCAATTAAAATATCCAAAAAGCATTATTTTAATAAGGACATTTTAATGATTTAAGAATTTTAACAATCAAATCTCCTTTATTACCTGAGAAACCAAAGTAAATATCAATGTTTTTATTTACACATGCACATTAAAAGTAAGAGGCCATTTTCTGCAGGGCTTCCTTGCTCTTCTCTCCCACTTTGTATAAAAATAAAGGCTTACTGCCTAAAATATGTAAAAATGTGATACACTTTTATCACTTATTCACTTGAAATATTTTTTTCCTTCAAAGTGAAAATCTTTGAGCTCCAAATCAAGTGATTTTCAGGTTTGAAGTGAGGAGGGATGTTTTTACCAAAACAATTTTCAGAAATAAAGTGAAGAGTTAACAATAAGGCTGCTTGTAAAGATTGTTATTTGGATAATCTGGTTATTATTTAATCACGAATTTTGATGGAAATTAAAACTTCCACTAGGATCACAAAAGACAAAGAATGAACACAAGCACAAACACACACAGAAACTTGCAACCTGCCTGTGTGATCAATAACGTTAAGCCCCCGTAGCACAACTGCTTGCAATGCCCGACCTCCCCGTTCCTTTTCCCTTTCTGTTCAGTACGAGTGTAAGCTTTAAAAATATCCACCTTGATTAGTTCAAGCTGCTATTATCTCAATAGGAAATCTACGCTGTCTATTTCGGGAAAAGTTAAATACAATAAAAAACCAAGTGGAAGCCATCACACTATGTTAACAGCTCAATCTGTGTTTTGACAATAAACTCAGTACATTCTTCTTTTTTCCAAGGGTCCTATAACTTTTTTGTGGACATTCATGTAATCGTGGTTATAAAATGGAATGTGGATGAAAACACCATCATGGCAGCAGAAAGACTTTGGTTACTCTTAGAATTTTTTTTTACCACCAAAGATAAACAGAAATGTTTTATACATCAGGGCAAAGTGTGGAAGGAGCAGCGCTACAGTGAAGGCAGTGAATCTAAAGTGTGTGTGTGTGTGTCCCACAAAATGTACATGGGTTTGCAATACACTGATAAAGCAGTTTTGAATCTTAGCAGTAATGAGGAGGTAGAACTGAAACATTTAACACTGAGAGGTAACAAAACAACTGTAAATTCAACTGAAAATATTTTTATTAGCACAGCTTTGTGTATTATTGTGTAGACACACATTCTGAAAGGTACATGAAAGAACTGTCACTTTACAATTGTCGGTTACTTGCTGTAGGCGCATAATGAGTGTGTGTGTGCGTGTGCGTAATCTCACTCAATTCTCAGATTCAATCTCTTAATAATCTTACTGTTGCATTCAGTGTTTTTTCTTCCCTGTTAAAATTTACCACAATATTTTTAAGCACTCAGCCACAGTGCTCACCCTTTTATACTGAAATTCAGTTTCAGTCATTTGATGGGAAAACATCTCAAACCTTAATTCATTAATTAATCTTGAAAATTGCTGAATACAAGTTCCAAAATATTTTTTTCAGAATCCTCCTAAAAATGTATTTCTTTTAAACCAAAAATCTACTTTACTAACACAATAAAATGTGTTTAATCTATAAACTCAATGATTCAGAACACGAGGAAAGAGTCAAACACAGGTTTAGTATTTTAAGTTAAAAATGCTTTTTAAATAAAATCCTGATCACTGAATCCCTGGTTTTCACAACTTTCCCTCACACAACAGAACCTTAACTGCTGATAATTCAAATTTCCCCAGGAAAGGGAAATATTTTACCAAAGTAAAGTAAGTTGATTTCTTACTCTCTTTCATACCCTCTTTTCCTCCCCCTTTTATACACACACACTCCCACTGGCCCGAATAAATTCATGTCCAGCGAACATCTTTCCTCCCCCACACACACTGCGCTCTGGCAGCTTGTCCGTCCTATCAGTGACCCCTATGCAGTCAAACATTAACCTAGCCAAAATCTAACCCCCTGCCTCACCACCCACCCAACACATATCTATCATGTTAACTCTCTATCCATCAGCACGCTGGAGTCAGCAGACAGGATGGTGGGGGGGCAAGAGCCTCCCCATTACTGCCCTGCATTAACCCTCAGCTAAATATTTACAGTAGGAAGGAGAACACACGATTCCCCCTCTCTCCATCTCTCTCTCTCACACACACACACACACACACACACACACACACACACACACAC